TGGAATGGATAATCTAAAGCCACACGACCTCAACTTGATCATGCATGAAAGTCTCATATCAGAAGTCACACGTGGGGAGTTAATTACTGCATGCAATGGAAGCTGGGAGTGTACTGTTCAAGTCTCCAAATGCACCTGTTTCCCCCCTCTGAGAGCTAGGTGCATGAGAGTATGTCTACTCACGATCGCCATTCTGAAGTGACATCGGTGGTTCTCGCCTCTAGCATGAGCCTGTGGTGCCCAGATTCCCTTTGCAAAGAGCACACGGGATGAGTGTGCTCACACTGACTTCTTGGGAGGATGAGCGATTGGCCTCAGTAAAATGAGCATCAAATATAATTGGTTTGCCATAAAAATAAATGAACTGTCTAATAGTGTCTGTTTCTTAAATGTGATTATACCTAGGGATGGGCATGATTACAAATTAATGGATCCCAGTTTTAGCAAAAGTAATCTCCGTTCTTCCTCTGTGCCAATTTTTTTTCTGTAATAGCGTGTGTGGTGACAGATGTTGCTACCTGCAGGCAGAACTGAGAACTCTCCTCTTTCACTGGCTAAAATGGGCTTCTCTGGGCTTTGCGGTTGGTGGCTATTTGTTGGAGCTCAGCAAAGGGTGATGTCACACCTGTCAGCGAAGCCCTGCCATATCTTTAGCCATCACAGAACTTAAGACTCCTTAAAAACTCAGTTGCCTAGGCCGCTGGCCTGCTTATAAGTATACCTGGTGCTAGGAAGAGAGAGTGTGGTTGTTTTTTACTCTTCTGGCTTTTGGGGGACCCTCCACCCAGCTCCCAAATAAATCATACACAGGGTCTTATTCTTAGCAATGAATGCCCGGCCTTAGCTTGCCTTATTTCTTGCCAGCTTTTCTTAATATAAATTATCCTGTCTATCTTTTCTGTCTGGGCTTTTTCCTTTTCTTACCTCTGTCTATCTTACTTTCCCTCTTACTCCACAGCCGGCTGGGTGGCTTCCATTGCTCTTTCCTCTTTCTCCTCATTTCTTCTACTTATTCTCTCTGCCTGCCCCACCCATCCTTGCTCCTGTCTCCCTATTGTCCGTCCAGCTCTTTATTAGACCATCAGGCATTTTAGACAGTTTCAAAGCATTAAACAAATGCAGCACAGACAAAAGTCACACACCTTAAAATAATATTCTGCAACGGGAGAGTCTTAAAAGTGGAGAGGCTTGACTGTGGGATGTAGCTCACTTGGCAGACTGCTCACCTATCTGGACAAGACCCTGGGTTTGGTCTCCAGTCTTGGTAGTGTGTGTCTGGAATCTTGGCATTTGGGAGCTGGAGGCAGGAGGACTCAAAGTTCTAGGACATGCTAGGAAGACACGGCTCATGTCCATGATTATAGCACCTGGGAAACAGACACGGGGTTTATTGTGAGTCTGAGCTCAAGGTCAACCTAGGTTATCTTGATAGTGAAGCTATCTCCCTATCTCAAAGAACAAAAAGAACAGGATAAAGTATAGCATCAAGTACATATTATACACACACACACACACACACACACACACACACACACCACACACAAGATGCAAAAGACGCACACAGAGACACACACACAAACCACACACACACAGACACACCACACACACATACGTCACCCACACATACACACAGACACACACACACACACACACACACACACACACACACAGGGTTTTACCTAACTCCCGGGAAGGTGTGCCATCAAAGACACTTTAAGTCTCATTGTCACCATGTAACCCATCTCCTCCTGACCTTGTGGACCACAGCTACAGAGAGACTGATGGAGCCGAAACCCTTCCGGGTATACGCAGGACCACGAATCAGTCCTACTGACATCTGGCATATCTAGACATGTTCTCCAGACAGACTGCCAGGGAGACACTTAAGCCACACGGAGACACTGCTGGTGGCACACATGGCCTTCATTTCGAGCAAGGAGCACGAAGGTCATGACTACAGACTTACCATCTGGTGAATCTGGCAAAGAAAGCTTCCTGGGACTCCAGGTGACTAGAAACTGGGCCAGAAGGGCACCATCCCATCTTCCTGGTATAGCTCTAAGCTCAGGCCGCAGCGCCCCACCTACAGAGCTGGAAGAAACGAAACCTGCAGTCCCTCCCTGCCCTTTCTATAAAGGGGTTAGCCATTCGAGTTCATTGACCATCTTCTTTGTGCTATAATCTGTCCGGACCACGAACATTTAAATTATGGCTTCTGCCTGTGTAGTTTATGGTTCTGGACATGATAATTAGGAAAATGTATGCAAGGATACCAAGGTGACAATTTTCACGCATCGTCAGAAAGCACTGGGCCCGCCAAGGTGAGGAGGGACACGGGGCATTTAGTTCTGTTTGCTGAAGTTAGTTCAAGTATCTTTCAGGATGAGGCTCTCATTCCAGGCTCCTATTCAGGAAGAATCTGAGATTTAAATGCGAAAAGAATAATTAAAAACCCAGAGACGGGTATTGGGATTCAAGCTGAAGATCAGAGAAGCAAAACAGGCAGCCACCAGACAGCTCCTCTACTGAGGCTGGGGTAATCCTGTCCTCATCATGGCTGCAGACTAATTCCCTGAGACTGAATGCCCACTCTGAGCCCCTGCTCCAGTCTTACATACCTCTCTAGTGCTGAGATTAAAGGCATGCACCACCATCACCCAGCTTCTTTGGCTACGGCTAGTATGGCTACTGGGATTAAAGGTGTGCACCACCACTGCCTGGCCTCTGTGGCTGTGACTAGCATTCTGATATCCAGGCAAGATTTGTTAGAACACAAACAATATATTGCCACATTTAAACAGTGTCCAGTGAGGAGGAGACTTACCTGCCCTGTCTATTTCCCTCCTGGCTCTGCCACCAGGAGAGACAATAGCCCTGTCTGTTTATGGACGAGCAGAGTGTCTTGGTCTCCTGGGTCTCCCCATGTCGCCTTGGCAGAATAGCAGGTACTGGATAATTTCAAGAGAATAGAAGATATTTTTAAAAGAACACCCCCATGTTTTCAGCAAGTATGCGATGGATTTAAAGATCAATGCCACTTCCTGGGCTCAAAATATCTCCAAATTCTTGGCCTCCCCTCCTGTGTCTGAGAACCCTTTCCTCAGCATCACGCCGGCTCCGAATGCAGGGTGCAGGATATGCCACGGTGATCGGTGGTGAGAGAGTGTCTGGAGGCAGGAAGTGTTCTTAAAGCCACTGTGGCCACTGGGTGCAGGAGCTTCCCAGAGCGAGGGTCAGAAGCCGCCACCAGCTGGGTGGCTTAGAGAGAGGTCTAGGTGGAGACGCTCATGGCCTTGGCTTCTTCTGGAGGCCGTGGAGGAGAACCCGTTTCTGTCCCTCCTAGACTATGGCGTTTGCCAGTAACACTCCCATTCCTTGGCACACAGAGATACTGCTTGGTCCTGCACTTCAGCCAGCTGTAGCGTCCAACCCCCGCCCCTTCCGATCTGACTCTAAACCCCTCTCTTAGATAAAGGCACTAGCATTGCAGCCGGAAGGAGTGAATCTGAAAATACCTTATCCTCACGTAACTGTGCCTTCGAAGGCCCCATTTCCAAATAAGGGACCATTCGCAACCACAGAGGGTAACCCCCTTTATGGGGAGTGGATGAGATTCAACGCACAGCACTGGATATGTGACCTAAGTAAGGGCATCAGTGAGGAAGGGGAGATGGGAGGGTGTGACAAGCTGTTCTGAAGGCAGACTTGATAAAATGCTGAACGATAGGAAAAGGGAATGATGTCTGTGGGTTCCAAGATGATTGTATTTATAAACGAGAGAATCGCACATCCCACTTGTCAACATTCTCACGGCATCCTCGGAGCTGTCCGTCGGCTACTTCAGAGGAGGACACCGGACTACCTCAAATCTACCCTCAGGATGTAGGTGTTCCAGGAAATTCACATGGGAGAGAAGGCGGGAGATGAGGAAGGAGGTAGAGGGGGAGGAGAAGGGAAGGACAGAAAGTACGGGTTTAAAAATGACTACATCTAATTCTAGGCGTCCCCTGAGATTGACCATAGCTGGTCGAGCATCCCTAGAATGTCTAGAAAAGACGAGCATTTGAATCAGTGGGGAAACCCAGCCTCAACTGACATCATCGGATCCATCCAGGGCCTCAACTGAACAAGAGGCTATGCAGGAGTAATTCCCTCCCCATTGCTAACATCTGGACTGAGACTCCAGGTCTCCTGGTTCTTGCACCTTCTGACTGAAGGACTTAAACCAATTGCTCCTTGGTTCATGAGCCTCTGGGCTCAGATTTAATTACACACCAGATTTCTTGGGTCTCAAGTTGACAGATAGCAGATGGAAGGAGTCTCGGTCCCCGTAACACGAGCCAACTCTGTCTTCTCTTGGTCTTTTCACACTGTTAAGTCCTGAAGAGCAGCATTTTCTTTCTCATCTTTCCAGAGCACAGAGCAGGCCAGTGTCAATGCACTGTCCAGTCATGGTTCTAACGGGACATGCTTCACCCATGTTGTCTTCTTATTGGTGGCATCTTCACGTGAGAAAAAAGTTTTTTTAATTATTTATTATCTATCATTTGTAAGGAAAATAAAGACTTTGTTGACAACAAAGTTTCACGCACATTAATTCCCAAGAATTGTCTGGAGATGCATTACCACTTCTTGAGAAGTTATCGCATATCCATTTGGAATTTGTGAGCAGATGGTAGGAACCGAGATGAACCTCGGAAGTTGAGGCTGGGGGGTAACGATGGATTAGGAAGTCGTGGTGGCCCCTTCAGCCCTTTCTTTCTCTGTGAAAGGAGAATATAATAGGATCCCTGCACACAAAGATTCCTGGGGTGTACCTATGTTGTACCTCCCTACCCCATCTCCTGCCTGTCGACGCCGCTCACAGTTCAGGTACAATAAATTAGAGTTGTGGGACCGCCGAACCCCTGCAGATCCTCTTGTCCCGTAGATGTCATAAGGAGACTCTCTTCAGAATGTTGCCTCCCAGATACGGGGAAACATAAGTAATGAAGCCACTGTGAGTTATTTGTTTTTATTGCCTCAGATGAAATTGGACTGCAAACATGCTTAGAGATTTCGGATTTTTAATTGTGACTAATTACACTCAGACTCATAAAACAGCAAAACAACACCCAAGTTCAAATTAGAGAAAGGTGGAGATGAGCCACAGAAGTGAATTCATCAGCGCGTCTATGCTCTGCATCAGCTAGCCAGGTCCACACCTTGCCAGGTCGAGACAGGCGTGCGGGTTTTGAGGCGCCACAACCAACCACCATAGCAGAGTCAGTATCTTCTCCTCCAGCTCCCGGGGGTCAAAGTCGGGGTTGACTCTGTTCGTTTTCTTTCTCTAAAATCTACAAACAGCATCTGTTAGACAAGAATACCTTTGCGCAGTGGTCTCATCTGGAGGATACTACGGTGTAGATCGATGACCCCACTCACAAGGGTCTGCAGGAAGGTATCTCCAGTGACCATTATCACCACCATGCTGGGCTGCTCATGTCACCTCCAGCCTGGCGGCTGCCACCTCTCAAATCTCAGATGATGAAGGGATTGTGGAAGTTTACTCTCTCTCTCTCTCTCTCTCTCTCTCTCTCTCTCTCTCTCTCTCTCTCTCTCTCTCTCTTTCTCTCTCTCTCTGTCTGTGTCTCTCTCTCTCTGTCTCTCTCTCTCTCTCTCTGCCTCCATCCCTCTCCCTCTCTCTACCCTGCCCTCTTTCTATCATGCTGTGTATGTGTGTTTGTGTGTGTTTCCCATAGATATCATGTTTTGACATCATAAAGAAGCCTTCTGGCTCCGTCTTGGTCTGTCCAGGGGCAGCAAAGACTCAATCAAACAGCACGACTTTGATGAGCAAACTCACCTGCCCAGACCCATCTTTCTCCATCTGGTCGACACACCCCAGGAGACAGTGTCATCAGCTGTCTGTATCATAGGGCCAACAAAATGTAGCTGGAAACTATGTGAGGGGAGCTGCACCTGTAGTGAGCAAGTACAGTTGACTTCTCACCCCGACTCCTAAACCACACCAAACAATCCCTATTTACATCGTATTAAATGTTATGAACAATGTAGAGATGGGATGAAGTACGTGGGAGGGTGCACATGCGTCATATGCAAATGCTACGCTGCTTCCCATGCTAGACCTGAACATTCATGTATTTCTGGTAATCATGAGTGTGCTGGATAGCTTTATGTCTACTTGACATAGGCTAGAGTTACTGAAGAGGGAGCCTCAATTGGGAAAACGCCTCCACAAGATCGGGTGTAGGCAAGCCTGTAAGGCATTTTCTTAATTAGTAATTGATGGGGAAGAGCCCAGCCCATTTCAGCAGTTCCCTCCCTGGGCAGGGGGTCCTAAGTGCTATAAGACAGCAGGCTGAGCAAGCCATGGGGAGCAAGCCAGTAAGCAGCTCCCCTCCATGGCCCCTGTAGCAGCTCCTGCCTCCAGGCTCCTGCCCTGAGTTCCTGTCCTGACTTCCTTCCATGATGAACAGTGATGTGGAAGTGTGATTCAAACAACTCTCTACCTAGTTGCTTTAGTCATGGTGTTTCATTGCAGCAACAGCATCCCTAACTAAGACAGTATAACTCCTAGAACCAAGCTTCTACAGGGCATAGTGGGTTCATCCCACCTCTCAGAACAACAACTGAGTCCTATAGCCAACCCTAAGATATTCTTCTGCATCTCCAAAGGAAAAGTTTGTGCTTTCTCCTGCCTCCTGCTGCCTGAAGACCTTTGGGCTTTCCCACATCCCCACATGAGGCACCGTCTCTTCTGTTCCCAACTCTGATTAGTACAGTAAGTTTGTTTCCCGAGCCTCTATTGTGTCACCTCTTGTGACTCTCCCAGAACCTCACGTGCAAACACACACACACACACACACACACACACATCTGCACATACATGCACACATTCACACACATACACCTGTGTAAGCATACATATACACCCATGCACATCTGCACACACATGCACGCACACATACACACACCTGCACACACACACACACACACACACACACCACTAAAACACCCAGCTGTGTGTGTGGAACACATGAAGACAGCATCTTTTGAACCCTCATGTACAAAACACCACAGACGACTGTGAAAAGTCAAATACAGCTCCTTCCAGCACCCACAGTCTGGAGCTGTAATAAAACATGTACAAAACAGACAATCAGTTGAGTGGTGGTAAGCGCCGCTGATGAGCATGGTGAAGGCTTGTTGAAGAACTTAGTGCCTGTCTCCTGTCTTTCCTGGACCATGAACGCACAGGCTGAGACACAACACAAAATTTAGAAATGGCCTGCCTTAGTTAGGGATTTTTAATGCTGTAATAAGACACCATGACCCAAAGGAACTTAGGGAGGAGAGGGTTTATTTCATCTTACACTTCCACATCACCGTCTATCATTGAAGAAAGGTAGGTCAGGACTCCGGGCAGAAACCCAGAGGCAAGAACTGAAATAGAATCCATGGAGGGACACCGCTTACTGGCTTGGTCCTTGTGGATTTTCTACCCTGCTTTATTAAACCATCCAGGGGTGACACTGCCCGCAATGAGCCCTTGCCCATCAATCACTAACTGAAAAAAGGCCCAGCGTCCTTGCCCATAGGTCAGTCTGGTGGGGACATTTTCTCAATTGAGGTTTCTTCTTCCCGAAGGACTCCAGCCGTGCCAAGGGGACACAAGACTAACAAGAACTTGGCCTCCTTTCCCAGGAAACACGGATCATCAATCTCATCCCTATAAATAGACACAGTGGGCTTCCAAGCAGTTCATAATGACTTCATATGGTGTTCGCCAATGTCCCCCATTCAAGCACAACTGGACATTGCGCAGTGGCTCTCTGAAAACATTAGTTCAAATAAATTGAGCTTTAAATTGCTCGGTGAAGTATGAAGAATTCGTGAATAACCCAGTTACCCCTCTCCTCTCAGACTGAACTGCTTTACCAGAGTTAACTGAGTTTGCTATTCTCTATATCCCTAGAAGAAGCAGCCAGCTGTCTCTTCCTAATTCAACAGAGACAGCCATGATGTATCTGTAGCCACATATAAAAAATCAAGTCTAATGAAAAGAAAAGATGATGTAAGATGGAGAGGAGGAGGAGGAGGAGGGAGGGGAGGAAGAGAGGAAAAGAGGGAGGAGGACAGTGAAGAAGCCTGGCACTCACCGAATGGCTAGACTTTCCGGAAAGTGAACCCCAGGGGTCGACCAGTTTCTGTCCCTTTGCTATGACACGTACCACCAGGCCTTGATTTTGCGTGGTCGTTGGAAGTGTGTTACCCAAGTCCCCATGTTTCCATGGCAGTCACTTTACAGACTGAATCCTCTCCCTAGACCACCATGATTAGTCCTGTGATAACGTAGGCTGCAGCATGAGCACGGAAGGTAAAAACGGGGTTCTGTCTGCGTCTGTGGTTATTTCCAGAAGAAATAAGCACTGGATCGGTGAATGCCCCGATGAAGAGCTGCTCTCAGTGACGTGGACAGGCATGACTAGTATGCTGAAGATGGACAAGAGCAAGAAGGTAGAGATTGTGACTGAGCTGGGTTATGGCTCCCACCTGGGATCAGACCTTCTGGCTCAGATTGGACTGTGTGGTATTGATCTTCCAGGTCCCAGGCCCTAAAAGCCAACCTCCATCCCGACTTTCCTAGGTCTCCAGTACCATGGGTTTCTTCGATTTCCATTACTGCATAACCTAGCCATATAATGATGTGTGCTCTGATGGGATCCCAGTTTCTGGAGAGTCCTGCCTAACACAGTCATCTCTGTATTCACGCAGGAGACATCAAATCACTAAATGGGAGAGACTTGAGACACAGAATCATCACAGCAGAGTCACCCATCACATGTCACAAGGGACACTTTCGTGGAAAAAGAAGGCTACATGGTATATTTCTGGTCGTAGAAACTTAAGCAGAACGTAACAGGAATTGTTACGGCCACGCCCTTTCTGGAAGCCAAACTCCTGTCCAGGAAAATGTCTGAGGTAGGTGATACCTTCCACAGTCACTTTCCAGGAAGGCAGGGGATGGGAAGCAATGTTCTGAGGATTTGGTTGACTGTCTCTGAGAGGCGGAAGGGCACCCGCTCATGGTAGATGCTGTCTTGAGTCATGACTGTCATGGCTGAGACACCTGGAAGCGAGCACTTAGCAGCCCGCCTCTGTACCATCTGACTCTTGCTTGCCATTGTTGCTTCTCCCAAGAGAGTCCCCAAGTTTGCAAACACTGGAAGAGGACTAACTTGAGGCATTGAACTCTGGACATGACTGTCTTGGTATTCTCTCAAAAAAATCCTGACAACTGTGCTGGAGTGTACAACCCAACAGCCTTGCGTAAAAAAAAAAAAATCCTGACAACTGTGCTGGAGTGTACAACCCAACAGCCTTGTGTAAAAAAAAATCCTGACAACCATGCTGGAGTGCACAACCCAACAGCCTTGTGTGGACTGTTTGCTCAGGTCCACGCGGGTGTGAGGTAGAACAGATGGCATTTCGTCTCTAAAGGTCAAAAACGTGGCTTTCCTGTTCTGCCATTTAGCCATCCCAGAAATATCTCAGTTGCTGAGGGACTGGGATCTATGGTTTTCTCTGCCTGAACTTTGCAGAGGACCCAGGAAGCGGACAGTTAATGGATGCAGAGGTTGAGCAAAAGCCTTTGAATGGAAACAACATGATCCACTGTCTCGGATTTTAACTTTTAGACATCAATCACCAATATCCTTAATGAAACATAATATGGTTGTTTTGTATATAATTACGGATCTTTGGAAACCATTAGGAAAACTTTGCCCAGATAATTGTTTAATTCTATGAGTAAGAAGCAAAAAAAAAGTCATTCGGAGAAAGTAAATGTTGGTTTAGACATAAGCACAGCATTCCTCCTCTATACAAAGGAAACCATACAAATGACTCTAACCAGATTCTGGCCCATGCCTCTCCCACCCTTTCTGGAACGTGGGTCTCCCTAATTCCAAGGGCAGCAGGCTCATGACACAGAGGCCTGTCTGGCTTGGGGCCTGGGAGGTGCTGTCACTGATGTTGGACGTCAGTGCACCACAAAGTGGAGCTAAGATAACCTATCACTTGTTAAAGAATAAACCGTTCTGGAGGCACCTGCCTGATGGTCACTGTGTGGTCTGACACACCCTCCTTCCTGGTCCCAGTTCAGTCTGAAAGTGTAGACACCATAGCTAACCTCTGAAAAGGGGTTAGTATAAAAAACAGAATGTTTTCCTCCACTGTGTGTGCCCTTTATAAATCCCTCTTCTGTCCTGAGATTTGAAAAGGTCTCGCTGCAACATAAACATCAAACTAAATGGAGAGAAACTCAAAGCAGCTCCACTAAATTCATGAACAAGGCAAGGCTGCCCACTCTTTCCATACCTACCCAATATAGTGCTTGGGATTCTAGCCAGAGCAGTAAGACAACACAAGGGGATCAAGGGGATACAGACTGGACAGGAGGAAGCCTTTGCTTTTCGGTGCTGTTGTCTCAAATTTTTTCAGCTTTACTTACAAACAGATTATCCTCTTTGAGGTTTAGTTTAGGTTGAGTGTACCTCATCATAAACCCACCGAGAATTTATGTGGAATTTTCTAATCCTAGAAACTGGTTTGAGAAAACCTTGCATCTTTCTGTCGTTCAAAATTAAGGCAGTTTTCATTTAAGACATTTTCCTCATGTAGCTGTCAGGCCTCCGTTTTCGATTTTCATCCTCTACACTAACTGGCTATGCGAGCTGTTAGTGATGTGTGGTGCTAAGGCAAGCAGGGGATCGTTCACATCAAACACTGTGACTGCTTTTACTCTGGCTCTCAGAAGGGTGGTTGGTTTTTATATATTCCTTTTGTATCTAGAACTAAACAACTTGTAAGTTGAGGATGTAGCTTTTGGGGCAGTAAATGACTTTATAATCTCCTAGTTAAAAAAGGTAAGTTCTCTCTCTCTCTCTCTCTCTCTCTCTCTCTCTCTCTCTCTCTCTCTCTCTGTCTGTCTGTCTCTGTCTCTGTCTCTCTCTTTCTCTCTCTGGTACATATCTTAATATGGTGTCTGAACCTTGCAGGACACTAAATGACATTGTTAGCAACATGCATCTCTCTCCTGCTCTGATTCTCGGTTTCAGTGGGAACACTTCGGCATTTCATGACCATGTGGCTCTGGCTCTTTGGCGTAGATTTCCGGTCCCACACTGAGAAACAAAGCTACCTTCCCTGTTGAAGAGACCTGGTTCTCTGAACTTTTCAACAACAGTGGCTAAAACTACAGTTGTCCTCGTTATGGTTTCTATTGCTGGGAAGAGAAACCATGACCATGACCACGCTTCTGAAGGCAAGCACTTAACTGGGGCTCATTTACAGTTCAGGGGTTCAGTCCATTATCGTCATGGTGGGGGAAAATGGCAGAGTGCAGTCAGACACGGTACTGCAGGAGTAGCTGAGAGTCCTACAGCTTGCAGGCAACAACAAGTCAACTGAGACACTGGGCTGTATCCTGAGCACAGGAAACCTCAAAGCCCACCCCCACAAGTGACACAAGTTCTCCTACAAGGCCATAACCACCTCAACCATCCACACCTCCTATGAGATTATGGGGCCAGCTGCAGACAAACTACCACATCTTATACCACATCTTTGCTTATGCTCCGAAAAGCAAATCAGATACCATCGACCGGTGTCCACATCGTATTTCATAGGGGCTAGATTACGGTTTTAGAGGTTTGGTTCATTATTGTCATGGTGGGAGACATGGCATTTTTGTGGGCAGACATGGTGCTGGAGAAGGAGCTGAGAGTTCTCAGGCAAAAGAAGGAGACGGTGTGCCATGCTGATCATAACTTGAGC